CGCCTTGTGATGTGGCCTCCATGTATAGGTGCGAGCAGGGCACACCATCGCGTTGCGATCATTTCCTAGAAAACACGACCCCCTCATCCTATCCTCAGATACGGCCCCTCCCCCAAGATATGTACATACCATTTTTCTAGGTTTTTGCAGTCTCTTACCACTTTTTCCAATTTTTTCACGGTAAATTTCCAGTTTTTAGCCAAGAATTTCCCGTCGAGTGGGGGAGCGGGTTTAGGGGGGTTTTTGGGTCGGCAAGATTTAACTATCATTTCCAACTGTTACCGTTGTATAGATCTTTGGCAGCCCCTCTCTCCACAACGACCGAATACGACCCCCCCCCTCCTTGTGATCATCACAACGATGGCGTGCCCTGGGTGCGAGTAGTGAAGTGACAATTCTCCCCTAGAAATTGTCCATCATTGAATATGCTTCTGATAAATGCTGGGTGTATTTTTTTCTCCCTAGTGACTACCATATTTCGGGCGGTACTGGCTCTCATAAACAGGTGACCACTTTAGCTTGCAGTAGCACATTCTTTCGAGCTGATTTTTTTATACCAGGATAGCTCTATGGCCCCGTTTCTAATCCGAAATTGTGTGTTCAAGGAAGGCAAATCCTCCTTTGAGTTTTTCCACACTCTTTTTGATGCTGAGCTTCTGTGAGTTCAAATTGAGATGTGTTTCTATTCTATCATTCGCTGTATTCAAATCGCTACCCGATAAAACCATGGTTGCAGCTAGTCTCGGGTTTGATAATTTCCCATGTAAATTAAGGTGACGGGAAAACAATGGTGTCACAGTAATAGATAAAATGTCCACTGATCTTGCAGATGCGCCGCTCTCAGAAAGTATGCACTGTCCCAAAACCTGTTTGAGGGCTCGAACCATTGGTAACCGGTTTACATATGAAACCCTAAATATGCTCACGCGAGAGCGAGACAAACAAAGTTTTTGCTGATCCAAAAGGACAAAAAAGCGGGAGGCTTAAAAAGCTCATGGAAAGGAAGGAGGAGCTAAGACAATGATAGATAGTTGGACAAAGCACTCACTACCCGTAGCTAAACGGATCGCGCACCTATTGTAAGTCTTTCAATCAGGGGTTCAATCAGACTGCCAAAAGATTTCGAAGAATTATCAAAGAAGTTTCAGGGAAAAAGGCAGACTGAGAGACCGTAAGAAGATTTTATCATTCTCAGCCTGTGCACCTCTTCCACTCGTTGCTTAAAACCCACAAAAATCGCGGGTATTGCTTCAGGCAATATCATCTATAGGAACAGTGAAATAAACCCCAGTATCTCCTGTTGTGGCGGATCAGCGGATAAAATTAGCTGGTTATTGTCAAGCTTTTCTCCGCACTATTACTTCGCGTCACCTCACACTTAACAAACACCAGAGCCAATAAAAAGCGAAGCTGTTGGACGAAAAGCATGAAAATCGTCCTTTGTCGTGTGTTTTTTCGGTTCTGCAGACGAGGGCATATGTTGACGATGGAGTTCGGGCACGTACAGACTGGGATCGCAGACTGGGTTTTATTTGAGGCAGTTGGCATGTTTTTTTCTGCTTTTCTCCTCATTATCGAGTTTTGCAGACCAATAATTCCTCTCTTTGATGGCGAACGATCGCGAGCTTTACCTTTGAATGCTCACCCAGATACGCTTGGTATTCCATCCTCCACCAAATCTGAATTCCTAATTTCAGGGCCAGTGCGGAAAGGCAGGTTGGAGTTAGTGCTAAGACTCCAGAATTTATCAATTCATGCGAAGCTTCATTTGGTAGAGTGTCAAGGATGCGAGCAAAAATATGTGGAAGAAACTTGTAGCCCTCTCTAGAAACGTATGGACGAACACTGAACGCTAGGGAATCCACCTCCTTATCCTAATAGCCGTTTCTCCAGCCATCGCATAAGGGAATACAATCATGAAGGACCACTCTGTTAATCATCAAAGTACTACACCCTCAGTAGGGATCACATTGGAAAGGAAATAGGAATAGGAAGCCATAGAAGAAAATGGTCACGACCTGAAATAAGGGAGACGAACTACGTGACATTATACAAGCCATCACATGATCGTGTCACAAAATATCCCACTGTTCTAGGGTGTGGTAAAGGGCGAGTTTTCTGTTCCATGGCTTCAGGGTGAGCAATTTGGTTGGGGGAGCAGTCCGGGTAATTTAGGTTTATATATTAGGTTTTCCTAGTCGAAAAGGAGACTTATAGAGGAATGGCAGTAGGCAAAGGGGATAGAGCAGTGGGCTAGTATACCATTTGGAAGCTGGTACCTTATCTTTCCATTAAGGAGAGATGGACCTAGCCACAGAAGAAGTTCTCGAGAAATTGAAAAGAACCCGAGTGGTGAAAATCAGCGCCCGATTTTCAAATCAGGCGTCATAAAAGGGAAGTGCGCTGCTCAACTTTGACCTGTGCCGGACTAGTGTGTTCTTGAATGCAAGGTGGAAGATTTGGTTCAGGAACCCGAAGAGGGGAGAAAGGGAAAAATTTGTCGTCATGGATGGCCTCATTCATTCTGTACACGTAGAAAGGGTTGATGAAGTCATGCGCTGAACGATCACAGAGCTGGATCCTTGTCGAACTTTCCCGCAAGACTGACACCGCTGCTGTGACTGCTGCCCGAACTATGTAACCTATAAAGTGAGGATGGTCAAGAGGGTGTGCGCATGGGTACCTAATTTTCTTGTAGAAGCACGAACGCAGTACCGATTCTATGCCTCTAGCAGTAATGTTCTCAGCATGAGATGTCATTCACGACTGTGAAAACGCACTCCCGGCCTCTAGATGAAATATGGGTGGTCTTGAACTCCGAGCCAAACTCACAATCGTCAATTTTGTATGAATGCAGATGAGAAGCCGCCCGAATTCTGTCATGAGGAGTTACGTGGCCTAAGTGGATGATCATCATAGCTAAGGATTTCTGCACTGTTCCTTTCAAGAGGCTCTATACAGGCCGTCACTGTCGGTGTATATTGCCTGGACAGAAACAAGCACACCTATATTCAGCTGCCCCATTAGCCCAATATAAAACCGTGCGATTGCATCTGTTCTGGTCAGTGAAAGGTAGTGTCCGACGGCAAACGCTACAACGTTTTGTCATTCGTTGAAATTGGCATCAACAGCAATTTACTCGCACTTGTTGAAAAAACGAAGGCACTAGCGGTTGGAATGAGAAACGAAGGTACTAGCGGTAAAACGCTCTCGGGGCACTGGGTGCGAGTCATTGATAAGGGAGGGACCTACTTATCTCGAAGCCAAAAAATAACTTATTCACCTGCTTTCCTCTTCGTATTATATGAATAAAATCTTTCGAACTGATCTGCTTTGGGTTTTTCGGAATGTACATTTGCAGTTTCACATAGTCACGACACATTCAGATAAAATGAGACTCCCAAACTGCACAATACTTCGATTCCATTGAGTCATCACCGGCAGTGATACGGCATCCACAGAAAAACCGCGGGAACGACTCCTCGACACTGTTGTGTGAGCTGAGCTTAGACGATAGGTCGATAGAGAATTCGCGCTGAGTCATGATCCCGATGATGAGAGCTGATTACAGGCGGCGGCAACTGTCGGAAAGGACAGAAGGAACGACGGCGACGGCCGGGACGACTGCTTCCTCCTTCGACCTCGGGTCCGTAAGGGCCCCGTCATGCTTCCGTATTCGTGCTCTAATATCTAATAAATATTCGATGATAATTCGGCCAAGAATCCACCCAGAAAGGGGGTAAAACCCCCACCACACACTGGTAGCAGCGAGTGCGGTTGCACTCGGGAGGAAGCCCGTTTAGTCTTCTTTTTTTCCTTTTTTCCCTTCTTTTCTATTTTTTCTTCTTTTTCTCTCCGTTTCATTCAATTCTTCTGTTTTCTTTCCTTCCTTGTTCGCCAATCTTCCCTCTTTTCTTTCTTCTTCTCAGTACAACTTCGAGGCTCTTGTGAGCATTCATCCCGACACAATCTTCTGGCCAGGATTAGTGTTTTGGTGAACGCATCGCAACTATCCCCGTCGAAAAGATTTTTCATGCTCTATTACGGTTATCGGTTCCAACTAGTCGTTCCAGTCTCCAATCCAGGCAAATCTTTCGGTCGTCGCGAGCTCGTTTTCCCTCCTATTTTTGTTCCTGTTCCTTCCTTTCCCCTGAATCATTTTTTCCTCCTCCTCACTTCCTTGTCTCACGCGCGAGTTTTTTCCTCCCATTTCTCAACTCTCCGTAGGAAATTCTTACATGGATAGTAAAAGTGGTATAACCTCAAGGATCCTTTTTTCTTCGATATGATGCCGCCATTAGTTGGCGTCACCGCAATTTTTGGTTGGTTCCGTGGTTCCTGGTAACGCTCCGTCTTCAAGAAGGGTTGACAGACGCACATATTCACATGCGTACGCAGGGACCGCGTCCCCATAGCTCCAAGCACAAGGTTACTATGAGGTCTATAAATGTGCGTATTACTGAGAAGGGTACCTCCAGTTACTGCGACAGTATGACTTAATTTCGCTTGGTTTTCATTTTCGTTTCGTTTATGCTTTCCAGTACTTTATTTGCATTTAGCACTTTCCCCTTTCCTTTCTCTATTGGTCTCCTCGGGGCCTCTTCTGCTCGGTATCTTATAACATTGTAAGGCATGACTCATGTGCTCGATGGTTGCCAACCGTGCTTTGTTTCTGCCAGCGCGTCGGCGAAGCACATCGGCCTGCGCACCCGCTTCTTCTCACAACATGCGAGATTCCGACCGTATCAGCGGAAGTGATTTCTCGCTGCATCCTCTCCCATCACCCCCATAAATTCCTGCTTGAGAACGGAGTTCTGTTTTGACTCTTCGTTCATGAATTCTCATAACAAGCAATGCCGATCCGCTTGTTTTGTTAGCGGAATTTGCGGATAATACTAATTTCTCATAATATACGAGATCCACCCCCTCGCCTTCGAGGACAAAATAGGGGGAATTTACTGTGAGGACACCGTTTGTGCTTTTTCTCTGTGGCTAGCTCTATGCCAGTCACTCGTAGTCAAGCTAAACCGGCTTCTGCATCTGCTGACGGGGCTTCTGCCCAACCTTCCGACACCAAGGTCGAACCGTCGGACCCGGTCAGGGAACCGTCATTATCCATCTTTGCCGACCTCGCGGACGATTCTCTTTTGCATGGCCGCGATGCCAAAGCGATTTGTGATGCCACTACTACGGCCATTAGAGCAGGTATGGAATGATACCTGCGCTACTACCGCTTCTCTCACCCGTAAGATTAACGAGAGCAATGCCGCTCTCCAAGATAAGCTTAAGGAGTCATTCGCTGCGGTGGGGAAACGCCTCGATAACCTGCCTACGATCGCGATGCTCCAGTCGGATTCTCCGGCACTTCGAGTTCTGCCCTTTTCCGGTGTTACTGAAAACGGAGTCCAATTTTCGATTTGGCTTCGTCGGCTGGAGGACGTAATGCGCATGCGCCCGGCCCCACTTACGGACGAGCAGCGCGCTAACTTCCTCATTGGACATCTTGACGGCGTTGCTCGGGAGAAAGTAGAGGAGTTGGACGACTCCGCCAAAAAGAGCTACTCTTCGGTGGTCTCACATTTATTGGCTTTCTTCGAGAGTCCGCATCAACGTTATGTTGCACGACAGCAGCTTGCTGCATGCCGTCAGGAGGCCGGGGAATCGTGCACGTCCTTCGCCAACCGCGTGCTCAATCTCGTAAGCGCGGCGACGTCCGGGCAGGATCCTTCCACATAGAAAGATCGTGCTCTGGAAGAGTTCGTGTCCCGCTTGCGGGAGACATCCGGTATTTCGTGAAACTCGATGGCCCTCTTCTCCTTTGAACAGGCCGTTAACAAAGCCGCAAACAATCGAGCAACTCCTTAGCGAGGCAACGGCCGAACGACTTCTACATCCGACGTCAACCCCAGCTCCCGTCCAAGTATTGCGTAGTTCTCCCGGCTCGAGGCCCTCCTCCCCCTAGAGCGCCCCCACGTAGCCCTTTGCGTACGCGTGCTCCCAATCCGGTCCATGCTATGGCTCCGCCACGACGGGCTCCATCGCCACCGCGTTCGTCGGAGTTTCGATGTCATAACTGTAACTCCTTCCCCCGTCGTCAGGGATCGCTACCATCCCAGCCAGCGGCTCGGTCTCCCTTCCCATCTTTGAACCGCAGCCAACCTGCTTGCGCCAACATTCCCCCTGCGCACAGCTACAATGCACAGGCCTTCCAGTCGACCCTTTGTCCGACGTGGCCACCTTGTCCGCTTCACTCCGGGACTCTCAGGATCAGCTGCAGCGCTCCCAAGCACGTGTCTCAGCACTACTTCGACGTAACGAGGAACTCACGCAAGCATCGCTTGAGCGGCCGGTTTCGCCACCTCGCCCAACATCTTCCGTACTTCCGGACATTCGCGCTTTGTTTTGCGTCGTCCTGTGTCTCACGGTTTTTGCTTCGCCAGGTAACGCTTTCGATGATGGTTGTGTCCTTCCGACAACCCTGCTACCTTTTTCTTTCTACCGGATACTCAGAATTGTTCTGAAATGTTACCTAACGTCTCCACCCCGCTCGATAAGGTTGTCTTACATGTCTATCGTCCGAACACGCAGTTATACTCCTCACCGGCATTCTTCTGTAAGATCATTCGCCATTCTGTTACGTTTTCCGTTAACTTTTTCGGCGCTCGCCGTGAAACGCATACGGAAACCCCCTCCACTGTCTCGGCCTGAGGAATGTCGCAAGTTGGCACTTCATCATCGCTGCTCTCATGGTGAGATGCTCGAATTCTCTGGCCTTTGGCGAACCTCGCACACGTCAACGTTGACTTTCCATAAGCTCCTTTCTCATGTTGTGTCGACCATGTAGCTACGGTCACCAATTGCTACTTCTACAATACCTCGGTTCAGGTTCGGCATTCCGATGCGGCACCCCAATCCCCCGCGGGGGATATGTCCTCCTGCCCATACGCTGATTACACATGTACACTTTCGGACGGGTCCATACTCGTCTGGAACCCCCAACCAGAGAAGAAGAATGTTCATTCATTCTGCTTGCGCGCATGTCGGGTCACTCAATGGGAACCATTTGGATGAGACGAGTTTGCCCTCTCTTGGAATGAGCGCTCGCCTAGAGTGGTGGATTGCTCCAAGCAAATCACGATTACCGATCAGGGCTATGCAATCCGGGTTTCCCACCGTCAGCCTCGCAGTTCTCCTCCCAACGTCGGGCTCGTCACAACTAACCAGTTGTCTGCACAGTTGTTAGCGGTGGAAGGCGCCACGTATGCATCCAGTTAGCACCCTTTTTCGCGATGCGTTCTGCTCCCTTTGCGATCGCACCAATACCATGACAGTTTTCCCTTCACTCTGCTCTGGCGTCACACCCCACTTCAACTATGCGAGCTCTGCTGTCACGTCGGGATATATCGGCACGTCACTTAGGCGGCGGGTATGTCCAGCTTCGGCGGTGCATCGCACTTCCATCTGCGTCCTGGCGCCTGCTGACTTTCAATGGTACTTGTTACGACCGTCCTTGGGTCGAAGTTCGTCTTCCTAGTGGCTCTGCGATGCGAGCTTTCCTAGACCCTGACACCGGCGTCCTGCACAGACAGGCCTCGATGATCCCTTGTGAGGAATCCGGCCCCTTCACCATTCCCCTCGTCGATGGGCCTACGGAGATTTTACTCCCTTAGATGGGAACGTGGTCCTCAATCCCTCTCCATGAGGTCATCCCGGTTTCCTCGATCTCCCGCTTGAATTCCATCCTCTATTGCATCGCCTCTCACAACTTTTCAAAATCTCGTTTTGACCAATTTCAGCGAGACCTCCAGCGACCATCAGTTGCGGGAATGGTGGGCAACTCGAGATCACAGTCGTCTATTGGACCATGTGCACCGACGGACGGAACACCTTCGTATACATCGGGTTCCTCGGATGTGCCGGCTAGTTCCTTTTTCTCTTTCTTTCCATGGTCTTTTTCTCTTTTAAAATTTTGGGTTACAGCATGTTGTTTGATGGTCACGCTTTCTTTTTTTTTACGTCTCTACTGTCTCTTTCCAACGGCATGCTCCTAGCTGGCGGCAGTGGGTCCCTTGATCGGTACCCTCCGGTGCTTTTTCGGTTCTATATCGCCTAGATATGGACGTGCAAATTGCCTTGCAAAGCAACCGTTTGGTCCCCTACCTCAGCGGCGCCTCCCATTGGGTTCTCTCTCTTGACTCTCAGCAGGCATTCTTCGTCGCCCAGATCCCTGTCAGGTTTCTATGCCAGCACTGGTAGATACCGGCGCTGGTGTCACAATCGCCAGCCAGTCACTGCTTCCCCTGTTAAGGCGTTTTTTCCCTTGAGCGATGTCAAGTGCCCGCAGCAATTGGCATGGCAGGGGTTCCCATTCGTTTCGTGGGAACAGCTCTGGTTACCTTCCACCTTGGGACTCACAAGCTAGTCCACTCGGTGCATTTCCACCGAGGACGGATTGTCTTCCTAGGTCGGCGGACGCTTACAAGATTATCCTGGGCAACGACTTTCTCCAACGTCTCCCACCTTGGGCGCTCAACTACGCGCAGCGTACGCTTCTCGTGGGAAGCGAGATTTTGCCAATTTGCACGTTCAGATCTACCGATATAGAGAAGACGTCGATACGTCCAGCTCAGCCGCTGACAGTTCACGCAGGCTCAACCGTCGTGTTACCTCCGGCTTCTGAAGTCATGGTTTCGTGTTATGTGGCCAACGCAGACCCCCGGCATGCTACGGTGCTGGCTGAAGGCATCCTCTTGTCCGAGGACAACATTCCTCATTCGCTCCGCAATATCTAGAATAACTCGGCCAAAGCTGTTTCTCAGCAATCCCGACTGACACACCGAAAGTGATCTATAAGGATCAGCACCTTACAGTCGCATGGCCTCGTGGTCGAGCTTCCCTAACGGGTCCATATTGGATCCCCCTCAGAGTTTTCAGCACCACGCATACTTCCTGCTCCGTTCTCAGCTCTGACTCCCGGCACTTCCCCAACTCCGTTGAACATCGACTTCTCTCGGGCCAATGTGACGGAGCAACAACGTCAACAGCTCCGTGACTTATTCAATGAAGTTTCGCGATCGTATTTCCACATCATCTTATGATCTTGGTTCGTATACGCACACTCGCATCTCCATTCGCACGACCACGGAAACTCCACCATCTCGGTATAGACCTACCCGAATTCCAGCGCGCTATCAAAAGGAGCTTGACGACCACATCAACAAGCTCCTTGCTTCTGGTCGCATAGTCGAGAGCGACACCCCGTGGCTTCCATAATACGATACTGGTCAAAAAGAAGGATGGGTCGCTGCGAGTCTGCTTGGATTTTCGCCCATTGAACGACATCACTATACCCGATCGTTACCCTCTTCCGCGTATTGAAGACCTTCTCGAACACGTTGCAGGTAAGAAGTATTACACATCCTTTGATCTAGCGTCGGGCTACATGCAATTATTGCTTTCGCCAGAAAGTCAAGCTAAATGCGGATGGGCCACTCACCGAGGCCGTCTATCAATTTGTCTTCTTGCCGTTCGGACTTCGTAATGCTGGCGCTTACTTTTGCCGAGCAATGTCGCGAATTCTAGTGGGTCTTGACAGTTGCTTGCCTTGACGACATAATTGTCTTCGACGAACTTCGAACATCATTTAGCCTCCATTACGTAAAGTGCTGGAACGATTCCGCATCTTTAACATCAAGGTCTCCGGCAAAAAGCTCACCAGTATAGCCCAATCCAAGATCACTTTCCTCGGACACGAAATATCAGGCGCCTCGTACACCCCTGCCGAGCGCAACCTGAAAGCTATCAGGGACATGCCCGCACCGACGACGGTCAAAGGTGTCAAAAGTTTCTTAGGCATGGCAAACTTTTTCCGTAAATTTGTCAAAAACTTTGCAGGTATAGCGGCTCCGTTATATGACCTTTGCAAAGGTAAGGTTCAGTTCCAGTGGGGAGAGGCTCAAGCTACATTTCGTGCATACATTCCCTACACAAACACCTACCTCATCTATATCTGTGATTCGCATTTCTGTTCCATAGATTGGTTCATGAATATTGCCCTCCTGACCACTGTACTGCTTGGCAGCTACAATGTAGAACATGTTCTTCGGAGACAACATCTCGATGATTTCCATAATTCGATCTGGAATCCGTTGTCGTTGGAAGCAAGGTAAATTCTGACTGTGTAGGCAGAGTCAGACTGAGACCTCCTTAATTGGTGCACTGCTCGTTTGAAAAATATCAGGGTGCAAGTAGCCAGTCAGGCACGAGCAGTGGTAGGTCTGATTCCGCTCACACAACCAGCGTGCGTGAACAGTGCCTTCAGAAAGTTCTCTCAGTTCATAGCATAAGGAACGTGCACGATCCGCTGCAGGCTACGTTCAATAGTGAAATCCTACTACTTCAGTTCAGTACCAGGTTTGTATTCCGTCCAAAGAAGATTCCACGACAGAATGTCTCGGAAAGGAATACGCTGCAAATCAGAAGAATATGTTTGAGCCGCATCTACTGGATCGACTTTCTCCTAAACTGGATAGGAAGTGACCGGTCAAGTGTTCTTGAACGCTCATTCGACGAACCATAAAGCGAAAATTGATTTCGTCTATTTTTCGAAGTTCCTCATAAATCCAAGCGATCGCGCCACTACGTCTGAGTAGCCCAATGCGGTTGAAAACTAGGCTAATCACTTCCTCAACATGACTGAGACCATCTGAAAAGAAAAAAAACTGTTCGTGAGGAATACAAACGGTTTAAACGTGTGACGCCCGACTTATTTTTTCAAGAAAAAAAGGAGGGCGCGCCCCCTTCACTGCCGCACAGTACATCACCCTTACAGCTGCCACACCCTTCAAAATTTAGGGCACTATCTGGTCAAAATTTCCCCTAGTGCTGGACTTGGACGCCACTTATTTTGTAGATCAAGTCGTCTGTTTGATCTGCTCTCAGTCCTCAATCTCGTCCTCTCCTCTCTTTCTTTCTCTCTCCAGGGCACACCATCGTTGCGCATGCACTAGTTTTCTTTAAAACGCCTCATCCCCACTGGCCCTTGAAAAGGGCCGGTACTTTTGCTTTTCGGCACCTCTGCCGGAAAGCAAAGGATTTTTGCTATTTTTGCTCGAAGGGCATCATAATGCCCTTTTGAGCAAAAAACTCGTCCCTAAGGGGACTCCATGCCGGTTTTTTTCGTGATTTCTTAGTGATTTTTTCGCGATTTTTTCGCCTTTTTCGCTTTTGAAGGTACGGGGAATCTCGTCCACGTAGACGGATAACTCGTCCACTGCCCCAAGAGACGGAAAACTCGTCCGAAAGGCGGACAACTCGTCCACTGCCGGTTTTTTCGCGAAAACGCGTCTTTAGGTGCGGGGAATCTCAGCCGCATAGCCGGACAACTCGTCCACGCGGAAAACTCGTCCAAAGTGTGTCTTTAGGTCCGAGTGGGGCACTTACGTGGCAAGTGGCTCCCAAGGTCCGTTGAAGACAGAATAGCCCAATACAGGCCCCGCCCCCTCGGTGAAAGCTCCGCCCACTCCGAAATCTGAATTTTTGGAAAATTTCGATTTTTTCGTTTTTTTCAGAAATTGGAAAACTCCGCCCCTTTGAGCTAAGCCTAAGCCTAAGCAAATTTAAGCCTAAGCCTAAGCGAAGTGTGTCATTAGGTCCGCTTGTGGGAAACTCCGCCCACTTTTTTTAAACTGCCCAGTCATCTAAGGGCATCACAGATCGCTCAATCTCGTGCGGCTAAACACCGCTTATCCCTCTAAGAAGTAGACTGGACGTAAAAATCCAGCCACTATTTAGCATTCTAGGGATTTGCTCGTTTTAGTAATAAACCAGACAAATCGCTCCACCAACTAAGAACGGCCATGCACCACCAACCACCAAATCGAGAAAGAGCTTTCAATCTGTCA